GTGCGGAATCGTCTTACAGTACAGGATTGGGATGAGCAAGACCACATCAGAGCAAAGTAATCAGCACGCCCGATGTGTACCAGTACGTTTTGGGTACACTGCTGTCCAGGTAGCAGAAACGGGGCGTTTGGGTGTAGTGCACCGTGGAAATTCCTGTGACTTTTGCCAACACGATCAGCAAGATGCCACCAAACCAGTTGAAGAGGAGGACAAACGTGGTGCCTTGCCAGCCGCAGTACCTGCAGTAGGATATCCTGGAGCAGGACACCAGACTGTACCTATTGGCAGCGACCATCGTCAGGGTGATCAGGAGCTTCCCAGGGTGAGGAAGACACATGTTGGCCACAACAGCGCACCGGGAGGGCTCGTAGTGCCAGCCGTAGTTGAAGAACGAGATAGCAATCAGGGGTATCACAACAACGTTCACGGCCAGATCCTCTATGCTCAGGTTAACTATGAAAGCGTAGGGAGCTGTGGCGCAAGCGGGGTGTCAAGGCCACAGAAACGATGACCAGGATGTTTTCCGACGAGGCCTGTGACAGACAACGTCCCATGTACACTGTCATTGCAATCAGTGCAAGGTAAATCATCTGGCAGTATCTCTAACCTCAGCTGTTGTTACAGAGGCGTTGACATGTTCACTTTCCCGTCCTCCATTGTACAAACCACCTCAAGTTTTCAGATTTTACAGTTAAATACTCATCAAAGTCAAGTTACTTTATACAAAAGAGCAAGTTTGCAAACACATACATTGTGAAATCCTTTGATAGAAACTGCTGGGTTTTTTGTTGACTGCAGAAATTGACCAAGACTTAATGTCCACGCCTCTTGCAGTTTTCAATAAGCAAACTTGTTTTGCATGTGTACTTGGGTAAGCGAACTGTCCTTCCCCACGCGCTGCCATATAGATTCTACTTGTTTTTGCACTCCAGACACTTGACTATCACAAATAACATCAATGTATCCAACTTGAAATACGCTTTACCCGCATTCAAGGACCAAAGCAACAGAAAACTCTAGCACTAGCACACGTTCAGCAGTTTACGATTATTAAAATGCATTAAATTCTTTTCTGTGCCATGTCCGGTCGGTGAAACAAAATTGAATATCCAGGCTGTCGCTGCAGAAAACTAGCAACGGAGAGCTCCATCAACAAGTCAAATAAACTCAAGTCACATATCACGCAGTTACTGGTCATTAAATGCTCCAAATTCTTTTGCGGTGCAGGATACAGTCGGTGCGACAAAACTGAAATACCTGGCCTGAAAGCGTAGGTTTATCTGCCTTGTTTAAAACCGCTGTAACTGATGATACGGTGACAAAGATCGGTTTTGAGCCGTATTTGATCTGTTACCCCGGCACTTAACAAGCACAGTTTCAATCATGGGTTATTGCTTTTCCAAAGTACCGGCAGCGATACATCAACTTTTTTGCTAATAGAAAGTATCCGGGAAGGAGTAGGGGTAGGGCAAGAAGTGGGTCGTTGTCGTGATGTTGAATCATTTATTGTCAGAGATTAACAGAGTGAAGTGTGCACTGACCAATCAATGTGACTGTTTGGCGTGGTTTCATCCAAAGGGTGTCTCACTTTACTCTTCTTAAATTTTATTTGTTGCTGATGTTACGCTATGACGATTCGTCCTTCCTGTATAGTGCAATAAGCCAAGTTTTAGAGTATGCACAAATGCGAAACATGTTGCCATTGTGCTGAGTATTTTCCGACTCTGCATCACAGAAATTGGAACGCTGTATATCGGGTGAACAACTGACTTTCAGCACTTCTTTAGATACTAATTGAAACAAATCTTTGTTGATCTGCTTGAAGTGTTTCTGCAAAATAGTGCATATAGGTCGTGAGTAGAATGGTAGAACCTTGCAGTATCTAAACAAAGCCTTAAAAATGGATTGAATATTACCAATGTTTTTACTTTAGGCCAAAAAATACTTCTGCTTCCGATTACATGAATTAAAATAGGGTAGATATGTAGGGATTTTTTGGGGGGGGGGGGGGGCAATTTTTTTGTGTACAGATCATATGGTGGTGTCTGCGTGTAGTCAAGGGTAAAGGTAGTAATTGATGATTTGGGGTTTTTTTTCATCATTCCCATTCCCCCCCCCCCCAAAAAAAAATGGGGTAGGGGCTGTAAAAAATAGGGTAGGTAGGGTTATTGGAAGCAGGACTATTTTTGTTTGTTTTTTTGGCCTTAAGTTTGCAAACTGAAAAGCAGTGCATACCTCCAACATTTTGATTGTGCTAATTTCTCTTTACAACCCCCTAAAGAAATTGTCTGCCTTGAATCCATAGCAACACACAAAAGATGTTCAATTATACAATACAACTCACTCCTGAAGACAAACAGAGCACACTGTTCAAAACGTCGAGTTAAAACAACTGGTTCTTCTCAGAACCACAAAACTCAAAAGAGATGTATATTCACAAAGTGTTTACCGCAAGTTTCCATTCACTGTTCATGTCCACCATGCAAACCTTTAAGTCTGATTTTAGTCACTCTTAATTCAGTTATTCTTTCCCTGTCTTCATTTAATGATAATTTCGCAAATTCGCCGAGTCAGTTTCCCTCTACACAACAATATCGCAGCTTTTTTACCTTATGATTTCTGCCACAGAGTAAGACTTTCTTGTATGCGCGAAGGAAATTCTTATTGAGCCAAGCGTACAGGTAAGGGTTGATAGAGGAGTTTGTCAGAACAAGTAGGATGCATAAGCGTTCCACCCCTTTTGGGATGTCATAGGTCAACTTGAAGAAGTGCACACCCAGAGAGGGGTCCAGCAGATGATGATGACAGTGAAGATGACGGCCATTAGCTTGGTGAGTTTCACCTCAGCCGGGTGAACCCTGTGCTGCGATTGATTGTTCTGTTTCCCTGGGTCTTGTCTTCCCAGCTGGCCAGGCCCATGTCTCGGTGCGCCTCCGGCTGACCTGCAAGGAGTGGAACGTCTTACAGTACAGTATCGGAATGAGGATGAATCCGATTAGTGTGCCGTAGATTAAGATGGCACTCAGGTACCAATAGGTAGCGGGTTCGCTGCTGTCTGGGTAGCAGAAGCGGAGAACTGTGTCGTAGCGGACAGTAGCTTTGTAGTAAAACTCTTGGAAGAGGACCAAACAGAAGGCAGAGAACCAGTTAAAGAAAAGACAGAGGGTGGTACCTTTCCAGCCACAGTACTTGAGGCGGACTCTCCGGGAGCAGGAGACTAGACTGTAACGATTCGCAGCAATCATGGTTAGGGTCACGAAGGAGATCCCAATGGATAGGCAGAAGATGTAGGCGACGAAGCGACACCAGAATGGGATGTGGGGCCAGCCGTAGTTGTAGGACAACCGTCATGACTGGAATGACCAGGACATTCACCGCGAGGTCAGTCACGCTGAGGTTGACAATGAACGCGTAGGAGGTGGTCCGGAGGCGGGGCGAAATAGCCACGGACACAATGACCAGGATGTTCCCAATGAGGCCCATGATTGCCAACAGTGACATGTATACCGTCATGGCAATCAGTGGCAGGAAGTTCCTATGTCAGCAGGTCTGGTGCATCAGTAGGCACTTGTGAATTGTTCATTTTTCTTCTCATCCAATGAGATATTAATTTTTCTCGATAATGTCATTAAGCACTGATGATAACAGTTGAAATCTCAATGAACACTGTAATTTGGTGTAAGTGTTTTATCTTGTTCTTTGTACCTTTCTTCACCACAGAGAGATGCTTATCGTGGGCTTACTGTCAGAGCAATGATCACACTTGTCTCTTCGCTCACATCCTTATACTCTAGTCAAAAATAAAAGCTTGTTGCTTTCCAAACCAAACAAACAAACAAAAAACCCGAGCAACCTCACCCAAATGGATTTCAAGTGCTTGAAAACTTAATTATGTACCTGCTCATGTTTCAGCAGACCATAGAAGTGCAAACAGTACCATTTCCACGTCGGAAGCAGACCTATACTGTTACCAACCAACAGAGGAATTGCTGGTACAACTTTGGCAAGCTGTTTGTCCCCCTTTTTAATTTTCAAGAGACAGAAAAAGCGGAGAGAGAAATTGGCATGATATACTGTGCCAATGGAACACGTATACTCCCCCTTTTGTCAACTCTCAATGTTTTATGAGTATCTATTTTAGAGTGAGAACCCTATGTCTCCCAGTCATAAACTAATCTTGACAAATTTCCCCTGCCCCCTTCCTTCGTGATGATAAAGTATCATGTACTAATGCTCTTGGTTGATACCCGTATCTTTTTTTTCCCCCTGCCATTTCGATTAATAACTGCCTAAATCTTATCCAGTATTTCCAATAGGGTACATGTACTTTGTTTTCTCCAAACATTAGCTATACCGGGACTCAATGGAAATTTGATTTTAATTGAAACCATGACAGCATGGATGGTCTAGTCTATAAAGATCAACCCTAATTGTCAGGTATCGGTTTTCGGGTCAAATTGTGAGAATAGTCACCGCAGTGAATCAATGTCCAAAGGTGCCATTTGCTAATTAGGAGGAAGCAAAAGCAAAATGAGATAAAAAATGAGATAAAATTTGTATTTCTTGCCAAATGGTTATTGACAGTTTTGTATCTTTAATGTTGACGTTCTGATCACACAAACAAAAATGCAAGCCTTTTGTTGACACTTTTTTGGTAAATTTTTGTTAGAAATGGCAGCCCTCTAATTACGGCTTTTTTTTATATTGGTGCATACAAGTACAGAGGCTGTCATGACTGTCAGTCAAAAAGTTGTACTTGTCAAGGGCTCCAATTACATGGAGTTTTGACTTGTTTTGACTTTTGGAACAAAAGTTTTGCTTGTTTTTTTCACCAAAAACGAGTTCAGCTTGGGTAATAAACTAATTATTATCAGCATCCAGACTCCAACCGGTCTTAAACAGATTGTTTAAAGCTAGCCAAGTTCACATTTATTCCCTTAATATCACTTACTTTCCATTGAGAGAGAAACAGATAATGATGTAAGTTTGTTTGAAGAAATCTAGACAATAACTTGCAAATTATGAACCCTAGGGTTTCGCCCACAGCGTAAAATCCTCTTGTACGCTTGCAGGAAGTTCTTATTGAGCCAAGCGTAGAGGTATGGGTTGATTGAGGAGTTAGTCAGCACAAGCATTATTCCAACTCGCTCGACGGCTTCTGGAATATTATAATTTAGCTTGAAGAAGTTTGTTATCCACACCGGTGTCCAGCATATGATGATCACAATGAAAATCACAGCAATCAGTTTAGTGAGTTTGATTTCAGCTGGATGCAAGACATTTCTTCTGGGTTTTACGGAGTCGATGCTTCGCGTTGTAGTCTGCGTAGCCCAGGAATGTGCCCGCCTCTGGCTGGCACGCAGCGTGCGGAACGTCTTACAGTACAGGATTGGGATGAGCAAGAAACACATCAGAGCAAAGTAGATCAGCACGCCCGATGTGTACCAGTACGTTTTGTGCACACTGCTGTCCAGGTAGCAGAAACGGGCGTTTGGGTTGTAGTGCACCGTGGAAATTCCTGTGACTTTTGCCAACACGATCAGCAAGATGCCACCAAACCAGTTGAAGAGGAGGACAAACGTGGTGCCTTGCCAGCCGCAGTACCTGCGGTAGGATATCCTGGAGCAGGACACCAGACTGTACCTATTGGCAGCGACCATCGTCAGGGTGATCAGGGAGCTTCCCAGGGTGAGGAAGAACATGTTGGCCACAACGCAGCACCAGGAGGGCTCATAGGGCCATCCGTAGTTGAAGAACGAGATAGCAATCAGGGGTATCACAACAACGTTCACGGGCCAGATCAGCTATGCTCAAGTTAACTATGAAAGCGTAGGGAGCTGTGCGCAAGCGGGGTGTCAAGGCCACAGAAATGATGACCAGGATGTTTCCGACGAGGCCTGTGACAGACAACAGTCCCATGTACACTGTCATTGCAATCAGCGCAGGTAGATCATCTGGCAGTATCTCTACTGTTGTTACAGGCGTCGACATGTTCACTTTCCCGTCCTCCATTGTACAAACCACCTCAAGTTTCAGATTTTACAGTTAAATACTCATCCAAGTCAAGTTACATTATTCAAAAGAGCAAGTTGCAAACACATCATTGTGAAATCCTTTAATAGAAACTGCTGGTTTTTTTTGTTGACTGCAGAAATTGACCAAGAACTTAATGTCCACGCCTCTTGCAGTTTTCATAAGCAAACTTGTTTGCATGTGTACTTGGCATAAGCGAACTGTCCTTCCCACGCGCTGCCATATAGATTCTACTTGTGTTTGCACTCCAGACACTTGACTATCACAAGTAACATCAATGTATCCAAACTTGAAATACGCTTTACCCGCATTCAAGGAACATAGCAACAGAAAACTCTAGCACACGTTCAACAGTTTACGATTATTAAAATCCATTAAACTCTTTTCTGTGCCAGGTCCGGTCGGTGAAACAAAATTGAATATCCAGGCTGTCGCTGCAGAAAACTAGCAACAGAGAGCTCCATCACAAGTCAAATAAATTCAAGTCACATATCACGCAGTTACTGGTCTTAAAATGCTCCAAATTGTTTTGCGGTGCAGGATACAGTCGGTGTGACAAAACTAAATACCTGGCCTGATGAAAGTGCAGGTTTATCTGCCCTTGCTTAAACCGCTGTAACTGATGATACGGTGACAAAGTTCAGTTTTGAGCCGCATTTGATCTGTGACCGGCACTTAACAAGCACAGTTTCATGGGTTATTGCTTTCCAAAGTACCGCAGCGATACATCAACTGTTTGCTAATAGAAAGTATCCGGGAAGGAGTAGGAGGTAGGGCAAGAAGTGGGTCGTTGTCGTGATGTTTGAATCGGTTATTGTCAGAGACATAACAGAGTGACTCGTGCACTGACCAATCAATGTGACTGTTTGGCGTGGTTTCATCCAAGGGCATCTCACTTTACGCTTCTTAAATTATATTTGTTGCTGTACGCTATGACGATTCGTCCTCCCTGTATAGTGCAATAAGCCAAGTTTTAGAGTATGCACCAATGCGAAACATGGTGCCATTGTGTAAACGTGCGTGGGTAGGACATTACGTGCTGAGTATTTTCCGACTCTGCATCACAGAAATTGGAACGCTGTATATTGGGTGAACAACTGAATTTCAGCACTTCTTTAGATACTGGTTAAAACAAATCTTCGTTGATCTGCTTGAAGTGTTTTTTGCAAAATAGTGCATATAGGTCGTGAGTAGAATGGTAGAACCTTGCAGTATCTACACAAAGCCTTAAAAAAATGGATTGAATAATACCAAGTTTTTACTTTAGGCCAAAAAAAAATTCTGCTTCCGATTACATGGCATTAAAAATAGGGTAGATATGTAGGATTTTTTTTTTGGGGGGGGGCAATTTTTTTTGTGTACGATCATATGGCGGTGTCTGCGTGTAGTCAAGGGTAAAAGGTGGTAATTGATGATTTTGGGGTTTTTGGGGTTTTTTTTTCATCATTTCCCCCCCCCCCCCCCCCCCCAAAAAAAAGTAGGCTAGAGGCTGTCAAAATAGGGTAGGTAGGTAACCGGAAGCAGAACTATTTTTTTGTTTTTGGCCTTAAGCTTGCAAACTGAAAAGCAGTGCATACCCCCAACATTTTGATTGTGCTAATTTCTCTTTACAACCCCCCTAAAGAAATTGTCTGCCTTGAATCCATAGCAACACACAAAAGATGTTCAATTATACAATACAACTCACTCCTGATGACAAACAGAGCATACTGTTCGAAACGTGGAGTTAAAACAACTGGTTCTTCTCAGAACCACAAAACTCAAAGAGATGTTATTCACAAAGTGTTACCGCCAAGTTTCCATTCACTGTTCATGTCCACCATGCAAACCGTTTAAGTCTGATTTTTACTCACTCTTAATTCAGTTATTCTTTCCTGGTCTTCATTTAATGATAATTTAGCAAAATTAAAACCATTACAGGTTGACTGATTGCAAAAGTTACTAAGAAATGGAGCAAATTATCATTTTAATTATTACTCAGCATACGGTACAAAGTTAGAATGTTAATATTATAAATTGAATGAAACTTTCAACAACTTTGTTGTCAAGTTGCATGCAGAAACAAATAGAAACACAGAAGTGCACAGCAGCAGGTTTTTGAGAAAATCAAATATCAAGCATGTCAGAAAAGCCCTGAAATTAATTTTTTTTCCGATTACGGGAAATGTTCGAACATCTGGTTATCCAGAGGTTGGAGGTTCTAAACCTAATCCAGTCAATTTCTTTGTTCAACTTTATAAATATTGTATGTATGCGCCGAGTCAGTTTCCCTCTACACAACAATATCAAGGCTGTTTACCTTACGATTTCTGCCACAGAGTAAGACTTTCTTGTAGGCGCGAAGGAAATTCTTATTGAGCCAAGCGTACAGGTAAGGGTTGATGGAGGAGTTTGTCAGAACAAGTAGGATGCATAAGCGTTCCATCGCCTTTGGGATGTCATAGGTCAACTTGAAGAAATGCACCACCCAGAGAGGGGTCCAGCAGATGATGATGACAGTGAAGATAACGGCCATTAGCTTGGTGAGTTTGACTTCAGCCGGTGCACCCCGCGCTGCGATTGATTGTTCTGTTTCCTGGGTCTTGTCTTCCCAGCTGGCCGGGCCCATGTCTCGGTGCGCCTCCGGCTGACCTGCAAGGAGTGGAACGTCTTGCAGTACAGTATCGGAATGAGGACGAATCCGATTAGTGTGCCGTAGATTAAGATGGCACTCAGGTACCAATAGGTGGTGTGTTCGCTGCTGTCTGGGTAGCAGAAGCGGAGAACTGTGTCGTAGCGGACAGTAGCCTTGTAGAAAAACTCGTGGAAGAGGACCAAACAGAAGGCAGAGAACCAGTTAAAGAAAGACAGAGGGTGGTGCCCTTCCAGCCACAGTACTTGAGGCGGACTCTCCGGGAGCAGGAGACTAGACTGTAACGATTCGCAGCAATCATGGTTAGGGTCACGAAGGAGATGCCAATGGTCAATAAGAAGATGTAGGCAACGAAGCGACACCAGAATGGGATGTGGGGCCAGCCGTAGTTGTAGAAGGACACCGTCATGACTGGAATGACCAGGACATTCACCGCGAGGTCAGTCACGCTGAGGTTGACAATGAACGCGTAGGAGGTGGTCCGGAGGCGGGGCGAAATAGCCACGGAAACAATGACCAGGATGTTCCCGATGAGGCCCATGATTGCCAACAGTGACATGTATACCGTCATGGCAATCAGTGCAGGAAGTTCCTCTGTCAGCAGGTCTGGTGCATCAGTGGGCACTTGTGAATTGTTCATTTTCTTCTCATCCAATGAGATATTAATTCTTCTCGATAATGTCATTAAGCACTGATGATAACAGTTGAAATCTCAACGAACACTGTAATTTGGTGTGAGTGTTTATCTTGTTCTTTTGTACCTTTCTTCACCACAGAGAGATGCTTATCATGGGCTTACTGTCAGAGCAATGATCACACTTGTCTCTTCGCTCACATCCTTATACTCTAGTCAAAAATAAAAGCTTGTTGCTTTCCAAAACAAACAAATGGAAAAACCGGAGCAACTTCCACCCAAATGGATTTCAAGTGCTTGAAAACTTAATTATGTACTGCTCATGTTTCAGCAGACCATAGAAGTGCAAACAGTACAATTTTCACGTTGGAGGCAGAGCTATACTGTTGCCAACCAACAGAGGAATTGCTGGTACAACTTTGGCAAGCTGTTTGTCCCCCTTTTTTAATTTTCAAGAGACAGAAAAAGCGAGAGAGAAAATTTGCATGATATACTGTGCCAATGGAGCATGTATACTCCCCGTTTTGTCAACTCTCAATGTTTTATGAGTATCTATTTTAGAGTGAGAACCCTATGACTCCCCAGTCATAACTAATCTTGACAAATTTCCCCTGCCCCCTCCCTTCGTGATGATAAAGTATCATGTACTAATGCTCTTGGTTGATACCCGTATCTTTTTTTTTTCCCCTGCCAATTTCGATTAATGACTGCGCAAGTCTTATCCAGTGTCTCCAATAGGGTACATGTACTTTGTTTTCTCCAAACATTAGCTATACCGGGACTCAATGGAATTTGATTTTAATTGAAACCATGACAGCATGGATGGTCTAGTCTATAAAGATCAACCCTAATTGTCAGGTAATCGGTTTTCGGGTCAAAATCGTGAGAATAGTTCACCGCAGTGAATCCATGTCCGAGGTGCCGTTTGCTGATTAGGAGGAAGCAAAAGCCAAAATGAGATAAAAAATGAGATAAAAATTTGTATTTCTTGCCAAATGGTTATTGACAGTTTTGTATCTTTAATGTTGACGTTCTGATCACACAAACAAAAATGCAAGCCTTTTGTTGACACTTTTTGTAAATTTTTGTTAGAAATGGCAGCCCTCTAATTACGGCTTTTTTTTATATTGGTGCATACAAGTACAGAGGCTGTCATGACTGTCAGTCAAAAGTTGTACTTTGTCAAGGGCTCCAATTACATGGAGTTTTGACTCATTTTGACTTTTGGAACCAAAGGTTTTGCTTTTTTTTCACCAAAAAGAGTTCAGCTTGGTAATAAACTAATTATTATCAGCATCCAGACTCCAACCGGTCTTAAAAAGATTTTTAAAGCTAGCCAAGTACACATTTATTCCCTTAATATCACTTACTTTCCATTGAGAGAGAAACAGATAATGATGGAAGTTTGTTTGAAGAAATCTAGACAATAACTTGCAAATTATGAACCCTAGGGTTTCGCCCACAGCGTAAAATCCTCTTGTACGCTTGCAGGAAGTTCTTATTGAGCCAAGCATAGAGGTATGGGTTGATTGAGGAGTTAGTCAGCACAAGCATTATTCCAACTCGCTCGACGACTTCGGGAATATTATAATTTAGCTTGAAGAAGTTTGTTATCCACACCGGTGTCCAGCATAGATGATCACAATGAAAATCACAGCCATCAGTTTAGTGAGTTTGATTTCAGCTGGATGCAAGGCATTTCTTCTGGGTTTTACGGAGTCGATGCTTCGCGTTGTAGTCTGCGTAGCCCAGGAATGTGCCCGCCTCTGGCTGGCACGCAGCGTGCGGAATGTCTTACAGTACAGGATTGGGATGAGCAAGAAACACATCAGAGCAAAGTAGATCAGCACGCCCGATGTTGTACCAGTACGTTTTTGGGCAACTGCTGTCCAGGTAGCAGAAACGGGTGTTTGGGTTGTAGTGCACGGTGGAAATTCCTGTGACTTTTGCCAACACGATCAGCAAGATGCCACCAAACCAGTTGAAGAGGAGGACAAACGTGGTGCCTTGCCAGCCGCAGTACCTGCAGTAGGATATCCTGGAGCAGGACACCAGACTGTACCTATTGGCAGCGACCATCGTCAGGGTGATCAGGGAGCTTCCCAGGGTGAGGAAGAACATGTTGGCCACAACGCAGCACCAGGAGGGCTCGTAGGGCCAGCCGTAGTTGAAGAACGAGATAGCGATCAGCGGTATCACAACACGTTCACGGCCAGATCCGCTATGCTCAGGTTAACTATGAAAGCGTAGGAGCTGTGCGCAAGCGGGTGTCAAGGCCACAGAAATGATGACCAGGACGTTTCCGACGAGGCCTGTGACAGACAACAGTCCCATTTACACTGTCATTGCAATCAGCGCAGGTAAATCATCTGGCAGTATCTCTACCTCAGCTGTTGTTACAGGCGTGGACATGTTCACTTTCCCGTCCTCCATTGTACAAACCACCTCAAGTTTCAGATTTTACAGTTAAACACTCCTCCAAGTCAAGTTACATTATTCAAAGAGCAAGTTGCAAACACATCATTGTGAAATCCTTTAATAGAAACTGCTGGATTTTTTGTTGACTGCAGAAATTGACCAAAAACTTAATGTCCACGCCTCTTGCAGTTTTCAATAAGCAAACTTGTTTGCACATGTACTTGGCGTAAGCGAACTGTCCTTCCCACGCGCTGCCATATAGATTCTACTTGTGTTTGCACTCCAGACACTTGACTATAACAAGTAACATCAATGTATCCAAACTTGAAAATACGCTTTACCCGCATTCAAGGACCATAGCAACAAAAAACTCTAGCACACGGTTCAACAGTTTACGAATATTAAAATGCATTAAACTCTTTCTGTGCCAGGTCCGGTCGTGAAACAAAATTGAATATCCAGGCTGTCGCTGCAGAAAACTAGCAACGGAGAGCTCCATCACAAGTCAAATAAATTCAAGTCACATATCATGCAGTTACTGGTCATTGAAATGCTCCAAATTGTTTTGCGGTGCAGGATACAGTCGGTGCGACAAAAGTGAATACCTGGCCTGATGAAAGTGCAGGTTTATCTGCCCTTGCTTAAACCGCTGTAACTGATGATACGGTGACAAAGTTCAGTTTTGAGCCGCATTTGATCTGTGACCGGCACTTAACAAGCACAGTTTCAATCATGGGTTATTGCTTTCCAAAAGTACCGCAGCGATACATCAACTGTTTGCTAATAGAAAGTATCCGGGAAGGAGTAGGGGGTAGGGCAAGAAGTGGGTCGTTGTCGTGATGTTGAATCGGTTATTGTCAGAGACATAACAGAGTGACTCGTGCACTGACCAATCAATGTGACTGTTTGGCGTGGTTTCATCCAAAGGGTGTCTCACTTATATGCTTCTTAAATTTTATTTGTTGCTGTACGCTATGACGATTCGTCCTTCCCTGTATAGTGCAATAAGCCAAGTTTTAGAGTATGCACCAATGCGAAACATGGTGCCATTGTGTAAACGTGCGTGGTAGACAATTATGTGCTGAGTATTTTCCGACTCTTCATCACAGTATATTGGGTGAACAACTGAATTTCAGCACTTCTTTAGATACTGGTTAAAACAAATCTTTGTTGATCTGCTTGAAGTGTTTCTGCAAAATAGTGCATATAGGTCGTGAGTAGAATGGTAGAACCTTGCAGTATCTAAACAAAGCCTTAAAATGGATTGAATAGGCCTAATACCAATGTTTTTACTTTAGGCCAAAAAAAAAATTCTGCTTCCGATTAGATGGCATTAAAAATAGGGTAGATATGTAGGGATTTTTTTTTTTGGGGGGCAATTTTTTGTGTACGATCATATGGTGGTGTCTGCGTGAAGTCAAGGGTAAAAGGTAGTATTGATGATTTTGGGGTTTTTTTTTTCATCATTCCCCCCCCCCCCCCCCAAAAAAAAATGGGTAGGGGCTGTAAAAAATAGGGTAGGTAGGGTTATTGGAAGCAGGACTATTTTGTTTGTTTTTTTGGCCTTAAGTTTTGCAACTGAAAAGCAGTGCATACCTCCAACATTTTGATTGTGCTAATTTCTCTTTACAACCCCCTAAAGAAATTGTCTGCCTTGAATCCATAGCAACACACAAAAGATGTTCAATTATACAATACAACTCACTCCTGAAGACAACAGAGCACACTGTTCAAAACGTCGAGTTAAAACAACTGGTTCTTCTCAGAACCACAAAACTCAAAAAGAGATGTATATTCACAAAGTGTTACCGCAAAGTTTCCATTCACTGTTCATGTCCACCATGCAAACCTTTAAGTCTGATTTTAGTCACTCTTAATTCAGTTATTCTTTCCCTGTCTTCATTTAATGATAATTTCGCAAAATTCGCCGAGTCAGTTTCCCTCTACACAACAATATCGCAGCTTTTACCTTACGATTTCTGCCACAGAGTAAGACTTTCTTGTATGCGCGAAGGAAATTCTTATTGAGCCAAGCGTACAGGTAAGGTTTGATAGAGGAGTTTGTCAGAACAAGTAGGATGCATAAGCGTTCCACCCCTTTTGGGATGTCATAGGTCAACTTGAAGAAGTGCACCACCCAGAGAGGGGTCCAGCAGATGATGATGACAGTGAAGATGACGGCCATTAGCTTGGTGAGTTTCACCTCAGCCGGGTGCACCCCGCGCTGCGATTGATTGTTCTGTTCCTGGTTCTCGTCTTCCCAGCTGGCCGTGGCCCATGTCTCGGTGCGCCCTCCGGCTGACCTGCAAGGAGTGGAAACGTCTTACAGTACAGTATCGGAATGAGATGAATCCGATTAGTGTGCCGTAGATTAAGATGGCACTCAGGTACCAATAGGTGGTGTGTTCGCTGCTGTCTGGGTAGCAGAAGCGAGAACCGTGTCGTAGCGGACAGTAGCTTTGTAGAAAACTCGTGGAAGAGGACCAAACAGAAGGCAGAGAACCAGTTAAGAAAAGACAGAGGGTGGTTCCCTTCCAGCCACAGTACTTGAGGCGGACTCTCCGGGAGCAGGAGACTAGACTGTAACG